AAAAAAAAAAAAAAAAAAAAAAAAAAAAAGACAGAAGAGACTTCACCCTAGATGGAACATACCTGGTTTATCCTAAGCTAATGCCAAAGTATCAGTCACATTCCTAGAGCTAGGGTCCAATTGTAAAGCTCCACAGACCACTCTCACAGTTTTGCCTATTTATAGCTTGCTGGAAAACTCTGCAGGGAGCCAGGGATTTAGCTCAGTGGTTCGCTGCCTGCCTTGCAAGTGCAAGGTCCTGAGGCAGAATGGCAGAGAAGCTCGTGGATGGGGTCCCTGGGATTTAGGGCCTGGGATTAAGCGCTGGCTGGCTCTGCTACTTCTGGATAGATTTGGGACAGATTGCTTAACATCTCTCTCCTAAGCCAAATAATGGCCCATTAAAGATGTCCCTGTCTTAATCCCCAGAACCCCTGAACACAGCAAAAGGAATTTGGCAGATGTCATTAAGGGTAAAGGATCTGGAGAGATAATCCTGGATTATCCAACAGGCCAAGCCAATTCTCAAAAGCAAAGACACTCTCACATCTGGGGTCAGAGGAAGACTCGACTGTGGAGGAGGGTCAGAGACACGAAACATTGTCGGCTCTGAGGCGAGAAGAAGGGTCTGTCACCAAGAAGGAGGGTGGGGGCTCTAGGAACCGGGAAAGTCTAGGAATAGATTCACCTCCCAAGCTCCCGAAGGGAAGCCACCCCGCCGACACTGACTTTGGCCCAGGGAAACCCAAGTGGACACCCAGCCCCCAGAACCATAGGGTAATAAATGTGTACTGTGAAGTCACCAGGTCGGTGACCATCTCTTACACTAGCCTTCGGAAACTGCCACCTCATGGCAGATGTGGGCCTCGTCTTCTTCGTTTCAGAAAGAGGCGACACGGTACCAGTCTCCAAGATCAAGAGTTTGTGGGCTCAGCCCTGAAACCACCAAGTCCAAATTCAAAGCCAGTCTTGCAAGAGAGCCTCAGTCTTCTGCCAGGCATAACAGCAACTCAACCCATGCCTGTCTCCGAGGCAGCTACCCTGACCTGGGGAAGGCAGGCAGAAGGAGGCCTTGGACTGGCATCACCTCCATTCTTTTTTTGGACCTCTGATTTTGAACCAGGACAAAACAGTAAGGATTAAAAGAGAGTCTTGGAGTCGGGCGTGGTGGCGCACGCCTGTCATCCCAGCACTCGGGAGGCTGAGGCAGGAGGATTGCTGTGAGTTCGAGACCAGCCTGGGCTACACAGAGAGTTCCAGGTCAGTTTTGACTACACAGTGAGACCCTGTCTCATAAAAAGAGTCTCGGAAGGGACAGGAAGAAACAGGGACCTGAACCAACCTTGGTCAGACGCCAGGCACAGTCCAAGTGACGGGGCAGAGAAATGAACGTTCCAAGAGGTACAACTGTGTGCTTCTGGCTGTGAGACTCCCAGAAAGGCAGCTCACCCTCTGGGCCTCAGTTACCCGAGCTGGAAAATGGGGAGAAGAATTTCCGAACTAACTGGGTGTTAGACCGCACCCACTCACAAGCAGCCTTTCTCTCCTCCTCCTTCCTCCCCTCTCTTCCCTGCCTCTCTCTCTAGCTTATCCACTGTTAAAACTTTCTTCGGGGAGCAGAGGAGGCCCTCAGACCTCCGCTCCACATCCAGGTTAGAATCCTTCCCCAGTCCTTCCGCTGCTGTCTGTCTAATAAAAGAGGAGTCAGTGTCACGCAGTGGGTCCGAAGGATAGAGTCAGGTCCCTGGCTGGCCGTGACCAGCTGTGGGAACCCGGACCAATGACCTCATTACCCCAGCCTCCGTTTCCTCATCCCAAAAGTGGGGATAATGAGAGCACCTCCCGCCCCACAGCTGTTTACTGAACACTCAATGAATAATCACGTAAAGCACTTAGTGAGGGTTAGAAACGCGGGAAGTCCTTTAAATTAACTTCAAATCCCCTTTAGGCCCTGCCCACACAGAGGAGGCAAGAGCGTGGGACCCGCTGGCTCAGTCCTCTCCCTGCTGTTGTTGATGGAGTCTCCACTGTGCGCCACATTGTGCTCAGTTCTCCCATGTTTAAGTTGTTTCGTCCTCCCCCAGCTCTCTGAAGTGTGCGCATTGCCTTCATTTCTTAGAGGAGGAACCCGCACCCCTGAGTACCCTGCCCAAAGCGAGCAGCTGGCAGGACGCGGAGAGGAATCCGAAGGCAGGTCCTGGGACTCCCACGGTCCCCTGGGCGCCTTAAGGTGCAGCCCGGCTAGGCAGGTCCGGCGTGGGCTCCAGCAGCTGCATTTCTAACCCGCTCCATGGGGAGGACCGCACTGGTCTAGGGTCCCCAGGCTCCACCTTGATGGCCTCTTACTAACTGCTCGCTCTTGGTAGTGATGAGTTTCACCACGGTCCTGAACAGAAACTGGGAATTTAGCTCAATTAGCGGGGGTCATGCAGCGTACAAATGACACAGTGGGATTTGAACCCAGGGCCTGCAATCGCACCTTTACGCTCGGTTCCCACGCAGCGGATGCCTGGCACCATCTGGCACCAAGAGGGACTCTTTTGAGACCTCAGAGTCGCTTTGAGCAGTGCAGATGCCGCAAGGACTAAGGCTGCGCACCTGCCAA